TCTCTCATCTCGATGGTCAGCCTTACTTTCTTTAATTGTTCGTGACAAATCAATCTCCGCCTCTTCGACATTCATGTACTTCGCGCATCTCCCTAGCACCTCGTCGAACGTTCTTCCCGGGCGTTTTGCCAAAAAATTCGTGCACAAGCCCGGTAGCAACCCTCGAGTTAAACCCCCTGCCTTTATTTCCTCCGATGCCCTGGGCACCTCGACGCATGCTCGCGTATATCTCGCCACATAATCTCGCAGCGACTCGCCCTCTTTTTGCTGGATGCCCATTAAGGTCAGATACGATTTCTCTTGCGGTCTGACACTTGCGAATTGATTGAGAAAGCTCGCACTGAATCCCTCAAAATCCTTGATGGCTCCCGCTGGTAGTTGATGAAACCAATCCTGTGCAGATCCCGCAAAGTCGTCAAGAAAGCTCGACACTTCACCGGGTCATTGTAACGATGCAAGACTGCCATATTCTCGAAACTCCTCATATGACGAGATGGATCAGTTGACCCGTCATAACTTATGTTTAGATCACGAAAACCTTGCGGTAGGTCGGCATCCAGGATGTGCTGCGAGAACAGATGTCCCCTTGAGCCTTCAACTTTTCTCCCCTCGCCTCGGGCCTGTAAATCGCGAACTTGGGCCAACAACTGCTCCAGCGTCTCATCTCTCGCTTGCGGGTTAACGGTCCTGATAGAGGACGCTTCCTCCTCCACCCTCCGGATCTACCTATCATTGGACTGGGCTTGTTGCTCGTGATCAGGGGGTGGCAACTCGACCCTTTGTTGCTCGACTCTGGGTGGCTCCCTCCGAGGTTGTTCGACCCTGGGTTGCTCGGCTTGCAACTGTTTGAGTTGGGTTGTCACCGCCTCTGCAATCATTCTTTGCATCTCATTCCTCGTCATAGTAATCATTTGCTCCTCGACCTGGGGCGGTGGTCTTGCCCCTTGCTCCAGCATTTCAGACCGCTTTCCCAAGCTCAAAGCCGTTTTGGCTGACTCGTTCTCGTCAGTTCCCGTGTCGGTGGCCCTTGTCTAGCTAGATCCTCCTTGTGTTAGCCCTGGTATCTTCACCCCAGGTGGTGTGATGGGCGTTTCTTCCTCCCTACGCGCTCCCGACAGCGCGTGCCCTCCGAACGGTGGGAAACCGAGCACCTGAAGTGGTGGTCTAGGGCCAGGAACCGGTGGCGGCCGTTTATCCGTCCATGCTGCTTCGAAAATCCTCATTCAAATTTCTCGACAGTCCTTCCTTCTCCGCCATGTCAAACAGTTCGGAACTGGGTGTAAAGCTCTTACTTCCTTTAAGAACTCCCCATAGACGGCGCCAATTTGATGGGTCTCCTCCTAGATTTGGAGTGAACCGGTGGAAATGAGCTCCGGTCTGTTTGAATCGTCTCCAAGTCGCCCGTGGACCGCTGCGAACACCTGCAAGAGCTCAACACCGGAAGTGTTTTCCGGTGAAGAGCCTCCGACGCTCAAGTCAGTGAGAGAGGAGAGGAGGAGCTCTGCTCAGTAGGAGCAGTAGCTGAATAATGAATGGAGAGAATGAAAGTTAGGGTTTGGGGTTACCTGAGCTCCTTTATATAGCGGCAGAAACACTTACTTGAAGTACCTAAATTGCCCTGGTCGACTTACATGAAGTGTACAAAATGCCCTGGTCGGTTGGTATTCTGCCCACTCCTAAGTCAGCATCTAGATCCTTCCTTATCTTATGTGAACTTAGTCTACCTTGGAGATTTCCTATATGTTGCATCTAAGTGTATCAAGTCGTCGGAGGTCTTGTAAGTCGACTTGGGACCCTGCCAAGTCGACCTAGAGTTATCCATACGCTCAAGGTTCCTAGAGTGTCTGCTCCTCTCCTTGAGAGAGATCGTCTTATACGTAGTTGACTTCCTAAAGTCGTCTTGAGACCGCTTGTCAGGCCGATGATGGTTTTCCAATGACCGATAGGCCAAGTCGACTTTAAGAATGTCGACTTAATGATGTCGTTACTCTTGTTTGCTCGGCCAGGCAGTTAGTATTTGAATCGGGCTATGATAATAGGGCTATATCACAGTTCTAAGACGTAATGCATAGTAATCACACATCATCACCATAGTCCTCGAGCTCGAGCTTCAATAAATCATCATCATCATCATTGATGGCTAACTTTGCTTCAGGCAAACTAGCATGATGTGATTCACCTTGAGGAGCCTTTACTTTCTTATTCTTAAGCATTCTTTGATAGGCCTCAACTAGATGTCGAGGAGTACGACATGTGCGGGACCAATGGCCACTGCATCCACACCTATAGCACACTTTCTTATCTTGATTAGCTTGTGGAGCGTGGATGTTGAGATTTTCTGTACGACCTGCCAGTTCCTCAACACCATGACCTCGTCCTCCACCTCGAGTCCAGACATGACTACGACCGCGACCGCGACCACGACCACGACCGCGACCATGACCACGACCACCACGGGGTGGCTGGGTTTGATATCCTCGACCTCTCCCTCGCACATTATGATGCCCGTGAGTAGTCGCATGTGCTTCTGGCACAGCTTGAGTTCCAACTGGCCTAGCATTATGATTTTTCATCAATAATTGATTATGTTTTTCGGCCACAAGCAAGGCAAATATCAGCTCAGAGTGAGTTGCATAGTTTTTAGCCCTATACTGCTGCTGGAGTACAAGGTTACTAGGATGAAAAGTTGATAAAGTTTTTTCAAGCTCCTCTGCCTCAGTATTGTTCTGCTTACAGAGTTTCAGCTGTGAAACAATACGATGTAGGGTCGAATTATACTCAGTGACGGACTTAAAATCCTGAAAACGAATATTAAGCCAGTCATATTGAGCTTGAGGGAGAATTATAGCAGTTTGTTGGTCAAAGCGATCCTTCAAGGATTTTCAAAGATTGGCAGGCTCTTTTTCGATGAGGTATTCAATTTTAAGATCTTTATTCAGATGGTGACTGAGAAAAATCAATGCTTTCGCCTTCTGGGCGAGAGTGCTCTGAGATGTAGAATCAATTGTGGCACTTAAGTCAAATGAGGCCAGGTGAATCTCAACATCAAGGGCCCAAGTCAAATAATTACTCCCATCAAGGGCGAGCCCAGCAAATTCTCTTTTTGTGATATCAGACATCGTCATATTCTACAATTTATTAAAAAAACCAAGAAAATGATATCAAAATATTTTAGAAAATCACATAAAATTAACGGATATAGCTAATCTTGCTCTGTTAGACAAAAAAAAAAGGAGCAACTTTCATAACATTTAATATGCATAATGTAAAATACTTGGGATATAATATGACTGATCCCACAGATTTGAAGCCAGCAGAAGTTGACATTCACAGAAATATAATTTGTGTTTCCATATAGTTATTCGTATGGCATATGAAATTTCAAGCAAACAATGAATATTAAAATTGAAATTAAATAGTGAACATGTCATGAATTTAATGCATAGTTGGCATCTCAAATCCAAATAAAAAGTAGTGTTTGCAATCAACTAAGATTATATATACACATATCAATTACTAGCCAACCAAATCATTAGTAAAATTGAATCCCAAGTCAGTTTCAATTAAAATTTGAGTATGGACTTTAATAGCTTTCTGAACAAAATAAATCATATTCAAGCTTTCATCAATTAACCAATGGGAAGGAGACATAGAGATAAATTTTCACTGCTACAAGAATTTACGCATTTCAAAAACCACCTCAACTATTAACTAATTACCCGAATTCAAAGTTCTTTTATGAACAACCATAAGCAGCAATTATTCTAGCAGATAAATGCAGAAAAAAAAAA